CAGGCCACACAGCAAGGTGACATTTCCAGCCTTCTTTCCAGTCAGACATGGTCATGAGACTGAGTTCTACTAAAAGGAAAGGCCTGGCCCATAAAAGCCTTGCTCCTGACAGCATCTTCTCTTTCCCCAGTCCAATCAGTGTCTAGAGAGGGTGGGGAGGCTCACTGAGCCCATCCTGGGCAGAGCCTACAATGTAGAAAGGAACTTGGACTCTGAACTAAACAACTAGGAGCACTTGCAGTGGACCATGTGAGAGCTGCATGGATTGACCTGTGGCAAGTGTGTCACTCTTTGGAAATGTGGCCCCTAGGAGCTCCTGCAGCAACCTCCATGGAGCCTCCCCTGGTGGTTCCAGAGCCCATCCTCGCGCTGCTACTCTACGTGCCCATCGGGTCCAGCCTCCTTGTCCTGCACCAATTCAGCGGTGCACTGCTGGGCAGCGTCGTTTGTGGGTTGGTAGTGCCAAACGTGCGGTGCTGGGACTGGCCAGCAGGACTGCAGACTCAGGGATCACTGTCTCAGGGTTCTCATTCCCAACTACCTGACACCTTTCAGCCACAACATAGTCAACCTGCTCCCCAGCTGTAGCACCTTCCTGGCCATTTTCTATCCAGGATGTTGTATAGCCTCTTACCCTTGGAGTCCAGAGACTCTAGTCTCTGTGAAGGTGTCACATGCCTACTGGGTCTCAGAACTGCTGTGGTCACTATTTGTGCCTTTCATGGTGTATCAAGTGGCTGTGTCCTGCTCATCGCCAGCTGGGGGAGGGGAATGAGGAGTTCCCTCTGTGTACAACAGCTGTGGCCAAAGAATTGGGCCAGATGAAGACATGACTCATTCTAGCATTCAGAACAGAGTACCTGAAGCGGCAAAGACACCCTAGACTGCGGCCCCAGTCAACCAGGACTGGTTGCGTAGACTTGACCTTCACCAATATACTTGAGGGAGTCGTAGCTTTCATACCTGAAGACATCCTTGAGGGGACCCAGTCCCTTCCCTGGCCTCTGCCCCCAAGACCCTACCACAGTGCCTCACTTGCAAAGTAGGCATTTGGTGGGCATTTATGATGATTGCACAAGCCCTCTGACATTGTATCACCTCAGTTCCCCATCCCTGGCCTGGGGAGCCCTCAGCCCACAGCTATAACATTTGCCAGGTCTTCCTGGGCCCAGCAGGAAAACCTACAGGAGTGCAAGCAGGCACTCTATGAATAGGAGAGAAGGAGATTCAGAGACAAACCCAGGAGACTGACTGGGGGCAGCCTTCATCCAACTCACAACAGGTCTGATGAGTGAGTGGTAGAAAGTGAGAGATGGGACTCCCTAATATCACATTAAATTCAGGGTTTTCACTCAAAAAAAAAAAAAAGAAAAGAAAAGAAAAAGAAAGAAAGAGAAGGAGAAAAGAAATGTGGCTTCTACGCTAGGCACGGAACTTAGGGCTTTTGTAGTGGCATTAATCACCCCCATTAATACAAACATCATAAAAATGAAATTCCATATATATAAGCATTCACATTAATATAGCATAGTAATGTAACTTTTAAACATTTAATCTAGCATGTTTTGTTTTGATTTCTAAGAGTTTAAAATTTATAGATATTATCAACTGGGTCACTAAAATTAAGTTTGAATACTCTAAACATAATGTCTAAAATTTAAATTACATTTTAAGAGCCTCTACATAACATTTGTGACAGGTTATGAAGCTTTCAGTCAGTAAAACTTTTGAGATGTATGTAATGAAGAGTTACGGTAAAACATTATCCAATCCCTATGAAAATAAATGTATTCAATAAACAGAATTACTTTAATTAAATCAACATTGTAGGGTAGTTTATAAGGCTATAGATAAAGTTTAAAGCATGGGTTAAAGTAACTCTAAAACTTAAGCCCAAACTACTTGTTATTGCATATCTGATCTATAAAATTAATCTATAAAATGAATCTTTCAACCTTGTAGCAATCTTCTTTTCCTAGAAAGACAACTATTTGGCCTTTATGTAGGCTGAGATTCAGGATTAACATTATTTTAATAATACACCTCAGAAAAAGTATTTTCTTTGTAGAAATGAAAGAAAGGGGAGGCATGATATTCTATTTATCATATCAGAGAGTTATAAGTGGTTGGTTCATGGAATTGTCATTTCTTTATAAGTACTTAGCAAAATATGATAGCATGTATTTTAATCTGATGTGAAAGTTGATGAAATCAACATCATCTCCCACCTCAGGTTTCTGCTTGCCTCTTACTGATTCAATGGCATGTGTTATAATTTGTCTGCTATATAGATTTTGTTTCTTAGTCAATATGAAAATACATAATTTTCCATGCCTGTTCTCTCCTTAAGGAGCTTATCCTATATAATAAAAAGCTAATATGCAAATCAACAGAATGGCAGAAGGACTGGTCGCTATGATGTGCACTGACCACCAGGGGGCAGACGCTCAATGCAGGAGCTGCCCCTTGGTGGTCAGTGCGCTCCCACAGAGGGAGCACAGCTCAGCCAGGAACCCTGAGCCAGGCTCACAGCTAGCGAGTGCAGTGATGGCAGAGCCTCTCCCGCCTCCACAGCAGCACTAAGGATGTCCAACTGCCAGACATCCCCCGAGGACTCCCGGACTGCGAGAGGGTGCAGGTTGGGCTGAGGGAACCCCCTGAGTGCATGAATTTTGTGCACTGGGCCGCTAGTATTTTAGATAAATGGTGAAAATCTAACCCAAAAAGTATTACCAATTTATAGGTGCCTTAATAAAAAATAATGAGGCAAAAAGGAATGGTGAAGTGTTCACAAGAGGGCATCAAACTTCTTTATACATGAGAAAGTATTGGGGCCAAGTCTTAGAATATAACTATTAAATGTGCAAAAAAAGCAGTTTTCCTATAAATATTTCATTGCCAAACAGTATAAAGCATTAGCTATTTTAAGACCCAACCGAATAAATATTTGTAGAGTTATGTAAAATTCAATAAAGCTTTTAAACAAGATGTATTATTATATTTCCATCTATTCATCAGAGAAAAGGTTAGAAAAATGTTTATTTTACTATTGTATTAGGCAAATATATTTTCTATAATACAAGTAAAATTAGTTACCTGAATGATATAATCATGAAACATATATCCAGAACATTCATTCAATTTTTCACTCCATTTTGGGGGGAAAAAATTATAATAGGCCAAGCCACCAAGATTCTGAGGTTTATCTGTTGTAGCAACTAGCATTACTCTAACATACTACTTTGCAGGACTGTGAAGATTAATAAAAGCACCCACTTTAGTGCCTTATAAAAGACGGTTACATGCATGTATCATTAGGGACCCTCATTGCATTGTGTGCCTGTCTTCTGCATCACTGTCTGTTCCTTCAGATGATCTTGAGGAGTCTGGAAGTCAAATACTATTTATAGAGGAGGAGCATGAGAAGGTAACGGCCTGGGCCTTCTGGTTCCTTGAGGAGTTTGGAGTTGTTATGCATTAACTTAATGCTGTGACCTCTGGCCCCTGGTCAGCAATTAGAAGTAGCTCTCATTAGGGTAAGTCCCTTTGACACCATTTGTGTGATGAAAATCATCTTTGAGGTATAATTAGAGTCAACACAATTGAATGCTCACTATGTACCTCCATGCTAAGCCCTCTACATGGACCAGCTCTTCAATCATCACACAAACTATGTGTAGGTGCCATTATTACCAACCCCATTTTACCAGAGCCTGAGGCACAGGGGTAGGAAGTGACCTGCCCAAGGTACCCCAGCTACAAAGTGGAGTAAGGATTTGAAAGCAGCCCATCTCTCTCAAGCTTGTGTGCTCAGTTCTCAATAATAACAAGATAGTTGGGGCATGCTAAAATGATACCCCAAAAAGTACTTTAAAAAAAGAAAAATCCCATTATTTTAAATACACACTGATCCTTCCCCCAAGATTTTCCAACAAGAAATGAAAATGTGTCAATGCTACTTTATTCTTTATACAACTGAATATTTCAGTGAATATAGAGCAAGAGAATTATCTTTACATATTGTTCATAGGAAGAAATTTGACATTTGCCCCAAATAATTGCTGGGTTGTCTTATCTGATCCAGCTTCCCTTTGCCACTGAACTCTGGAAAAAGAAAGAAAGAAAACATACAACTCAGATGAAATCATTCTCAGAATTGAGATGAGACCATGGGCATGTATATAGCATATTTTAAAATTATACCTCAATTTGACGTCATAAATGCCCATAGTCTATACTTATAAGGTCTGTGTTTGCTGTATCTAATTAGACCACTAGGCCTGTGTGAGTGCTGTGGCCCTAGGGGACACCTTCCCCTTTTCACCTGGGCAGCTGTTACCCAGCATCTGGGCAGCTTTCTCAGGCACCTGGGCCTACTGGGGCCCTGACCACGGCCTGCAGGTCAGGATCAGGTTCTAGGTGGGAAGATGCACAGCCTCTGCAGGACAGTGGCCTCATGGCCCTGGGACCACATCACCACTAGAGGCAGAGGAGACCTAGAGCTGCCCTTGTACAGGGATGTCTGCTTCCACAGGCCGAAGACCAGGAATCTCCCCAGATTGAAACTCCGGTCTCAGAGCATCATTGAATGGAAGGAATGGCCTTGTCTGGCTGTGCTCTGAAATGTTCCCACTATAGGGAGCTTCTGCCCTGCCCCAAGCATCCCAGGATAGTTTTTTTCCTCATTAGAAGAGCCAGGTGAGAATTCACAGAGAATCAGATGGGCCAAGTGGAGCTTACAGCCCCTCATAGGCACAGCTGAAGACAGTTCCCTTGCAAAGAGCCAGCATGAAGTGAAGGCGGCAATGTTTGCCCAGGGCCGGCTGGAATGGGGCTCTGTGGGGCTGAGAGCAGGAAAGGGGATGGGGCAGAAGGTCCTCGAGAGTTCCACATAGCTCTCCTTTCTTTGAACTATCACCCCTCTGGCTGCCTCTCACTACCCCCTGTCAGACTCATAACATTTCCTTGGAGGTAAAAAGCTGTAATGGGCTGACCTTGGTCTATCCTACTGGGTGTTCAGTGTTTCTTCCATTCCTTGGCTGAAAAAAAAAGGAGCAACTTAGAAAATTTGGAACAAAACTGCCTGGAACCTGTTTCTTGGTTTCAGATTCTTTCTTCATAAGCCCTAAGGCCTTGTTCTCCTAACTAGGGTGTCAGCAGCCTCCTGGGGGGCTCACTGGGTGAGCCTTAGCCCCGTCTCAGTCTGTAGGTCCTCTAAGGCAGGGCTACAAGACCCTAGCTGCTTAGACACTATCTGTACTCCACTACCCTAGCCCAGACACTGTCCCCCCTCCTGCACTCCACCCCTTAGCCTCTGTTTCTGTGGCAGGACAGTCCTGAAGCTATTTGTCACAGGACTTCTCACCCCAAAGACATCATGGAGACCCACTGTTTCATAAAGTCCTTTCCAGAGAACAACCACTAATAAGTCATGCAGATTAAAAAGGTGCATGCGGGGTGGCATGGGGGTTGAGAAGCATTTCCACAGACAAAACAGTTTGGGAAACAACATATGATAAAGTCAAGTTAAACAGGCTGTTTTCTGCCGGACACATTCGTGTGCATTGTCAACCTTCAGGAATGTTGGGTGCAGTGTTTTCTAATCTGATTTGATCTTCGCATAGCAGCTCTTAGCACCAATGGCCCACAGAATGCAGTTTGAGGGGTACAAGTCTGGCTGATTTGCACATTTTTCTGATGCAAACATTGAGTATTTAGGGGTTGAAACAAAGTGAGTGATTGGCAGGTCAAATACTAAGAGAGAACTCTCTGGCTCCATGATCTTTGCAAGAGGCTCAAGTCCCCTGGGAAAGAGGAGAGGATGGCACTAGACTCCTCTTGCCAGTGTGTTTTGGGGCTAGGTATCCAGACCTTCATATTCAGAAACACAGACTCAGACTCTGGTTGGTCCTCGTGTCTGTCCATCACTAGAACTCCCACTTCCCACCCCTGTGTTCCCTGGTGCTCTCAGCCTGTGTCCTGGTGGATCCTTTCCTTTACAAGCATTGACTTTGTAGGGGAAAACTTTGAGAGTCACCCCCTAACTAAAGAGTTAGAGAGTCCACACAATTGTTCACCAGTTCATCGTGGGTCCGCTCTGCTCATTCAGCAGGAGGGAATCAGGGTTAAAAACAGAGAAAGCATGTTATACCCTGAATAGAAAAAATGGTCGTCCCCAGGTAGCAGCGTGCTCCTGCAACATAAAAACACAAACCATTATGCAACATGTTGTGCCGAAGGCCTCTCAAAGATGTCTATGACAGCAGTTTTCAAAGCATGGTCCCCAGTCCCAAAGCATCAATAACACTTGAGAACTTGTCAGAAATGCACATTCACAGGCCCCTACTGAATCTCCAGACTTTAACAAGGTCCCCAGATATCTTTAATGCACTGTCAATGTGGAGAAGTACAGGTATATAGGGTTTGTGCCACTTGCAGTACCTCTCCAAGTTGGTACAACTGGCATGTGGGCCCTGAGCCACAGAAAGCCAATTCCAGGACAGATGGCCCCAGGTGGCTCATCCACAAGCCTGGAGATAAGATATTCACAGCCAGAGGATTGTCAAGGTGGCCCAACTCCAAGTGCTTCCCTGTCCTCTCGCAGATCTTTCTTGGGAGGTTGTGTTCTCCACAAGGTTTACATACCTTCTTGGTAAAGTCAAGTGCCACAGCCCCCAGATCCTGTGAAGGAAAAGGCACAGGTTAATTTCACAGGAACCACATCCGTGAGGCTAGCTGTTATTCTGCTGGTATTCTGCACCTCCCTGTTCAAGGGCACAGCTCTGTGGCCAATTTCAATTTCCTGTTCAGGAAAGCAAGCATGCTTTCTTGATTGAATTACCATTTGTGTCCTGGACAATGTTATATTTGCTTGCTCTTCTCAACAGCCTCAACTTGAAATTGACCCCTGGTTTAGACACATGTCCCAGATAAGGCATTTCAGCTTCTTCACCTTGTCTTTGCCCGTGAATCTGGCATACCACTGGAGGCAAGACCCAGCCTGGACAGCTGCGATCAGATCAGAAAAACGGTTCCCTGTACTTGGGGTGATCAACAGATTTCTCAGGAACTGAGCAGTTTCCTGAGGGTCTTGGGATTTTCAGAGCTAAAACCAGGAAAGTCCCGGGCATACTGGGATGCATTGGTCACCTGACTTGGGCTCACAGTGTTCAAAAGAAGTTTTCTTTCTGCTACCATGCAACAAACCTTGATGAAGATTTTGAGGTTCAGCTATTACTGAAACTGGCGATTTCTAAACTTAATTTTTTAAAATATATTTTAGTGATTTTCGAGAGGAAGGGAGAGGGAGAGAGAGATAGAAACATCAATGATGAGTGAGAATCATTGATTGGCTGCCTCCTGCACGCCCCCTACTGGGGATCGAGCCTGCAACCCAGGCATGTGCCCTTGGCCGGAATCGAACCCGGGACCCTTCAGTCCGAAGGCTGAGGCTCTATCCATTGAGCCAAATCAGTTAGGGCCTTAATTTTTTTTCTTAAGAAAACAAAAACAAAGCTCTGAGGTATGGACAAAAGGACAGGTGGTGCAATGGGAAACAGAGAGCCCCCAAGGCAAATGTTCATGTCAAGAGAAAGAAGAAGGGACAGGAAAAGAGGCAGACAACACAAAAGCTAAAACAAATGAAAAAAAAAAATGTGGATGAAGCCCTGGCCAATTTGGCTCAGTGGATAGAGTGCAGGCTGGCTGACTGAAGGGCCCCGTTTGGTTCCAATCAAGGGCACATACCTCGGTTACAGGCTCAATCTCTGGCCCTGATGAGGGGCTCATGGGGGAGGCAACCAATCAATGTGTCTCTCTTGCATGAATGTTTCCCTCTGCCTCTCCCCCTCCCTTCCACTCTCTCTAAAAATCAATGGAAAAAATAGCCTCCGGTGAGGATTAACAACAACAACAAAAATGTGGATGAAGAGTTCAGCAGAGGAGAGGACGGAGCCATGAGGGGCCAGTGGATGGGGTCAGTGGAGGAGACTGTGGCTGGAGGAGGTTAGTAACTTGCGTAAGGTCAATGGGCCAGAGCTCCCTGCCGCAGGGAGACACAGATTTAAGGAGAGAATGCAAGTGAGTTCCAAGGCGAAGACACGCATATACCCTGGTTAATGTACCTTTACCGGCATGAAATATGGCGGAAGAAAAAAAAGCACATACACGCTGTAGAAATCTCTTCATCTTCCCATTGGCGAGCTTGGCGGCCAGCCGAGTTACGGGGTGCACCGGAGGAAACTGCAACAGATGGGCGCTGTGAGGCTGCAGGCAGCGGAGCCCAGCGTTCTTCGCATCCTTTCCACTCCCTTACAAATGGGTTTAATTTTCAGAGTAATATCATTTCCGAGCCCGAGCTTGAAATTTTATGTTTCCAATAAAGACTCGCCTGCTTGGATAGCAGGTTTCAATTCCAACACATCACTTCAAAATATTCCCTTAGGATAAACCAGACTTTTATCTGCATTGACCCCAAGTTTTCCGTGCTTTGGTGTGGAGTGCATTGTTCCAAAGAAGCATCTCCACACAGATCCTTTTGCCCTCCAGGTGCGCTCTCCTAATCTAAGGGACCAACTGGGAGGGCAGCACCCTGACCCTCTCTCCCCGAGGCATTTATTTTCCCAGACTTCTTGTCTGTGACTGCCCACAGGCACTCAGACACACACACACCTGTGTCTTATCTAGTCTTTCTGAATCCTCCTGAGAAGTCTGACTCAGAGTAAAGGTTAATTTGTGTCACAGACCATGTTTATCTTTCCCCTTCCATTGCCCCCTGCAGTGCCCATGGCCTTTCTTGAGAAAATCCCCATCATACTTGATTCCCATTCCCAAACATGTACTAGGCATGAATCTTTGCCTCTTAAGGGGGGAAAAGTACTTTGCTGGTTTTTTTAAGGGTCTTCTTGAAGACTTGGAAAGCCTTGATTACATAAATAAGTGCATTTCTAATGGTCAAATTTCAGTTGTTGTGTCAGGGCACCTGAATTAATTTTATTCTATGATTCTAATAATTCTCAAATCATGCCCTGCAGAAATTCACTTACACAACATGTACCCGAGGGTAACTCAAGTTTATGCTAATTAAGTTAGAGGGGATGTTTATTATTGGAATAGCACCCACACATTGTGACGGTGACGAAAAAAGAACAGCCATGGGCCACTATTGGGGGGTATGGTGCTTTACACTTCACAAAACACTTTTCATAATTTAAGAACAGAGGGTAATATGGAACAATATTAATAGAGTTCCATTTGTCAGGTTCTTGTACATCTGTTTAAGTGCATAATGAAAAGTTATTTCTTACTTATTTTTCCGTTTCTATAAGTTATTCTCTGTCTTTTTAGATCTGTCAGCCTCCTCCCACTCCAACCTAGGGAGGGAGACAGGTAGTCCCTACCGGCCTGGGGAAAGGCATCTGGGAAGCTGTTACACAGAGTCTAAGACCTTCGGCTGATCTGCACGTATTAATTAGGAAGGAATAAAGGCATGCAGAGGGGAGGGACTTTTACAAAGATAATTACGATACAATACCAACCCCAATTTTAACTGGCTGTGTTGGCTCCCGAGTTCTGGAGTAGTCAAATAAAAACTGAATAAGGAAAAAAAAGGTTCATTTTAGTATTGTGTCACTTGCTACAAAGTAGAAGTTGCATGCCCTTGCTACTGGGCTGGGCTGTACTCACCCTTTTGAATATGTCTTGATTATCCTGGAAAGAGAATTGTGAGGGTAAGTTACATGGAATTTTACTGAGGCAGGTAACCGAAAAAGTTTTCAGTATCTAAGGTACACCATGAAATATATAGGATGTACCTTAATATTATGAAATAAATTGCCAAGCTAAAAAGAAATTCGTTACATAAACTAAGATTATACTGATGCAGGATCTTATGAAAAACAAAGTTGACAGCAATACACCATCATTTTAAAACTTAATCTCATTTTACCTTTTCAAGCTTCAGGGGAAAACATACTCTATGATGTATAGAAGAGATACCAGAATCTATCCCCAGATAACCACCTGATATAGAATTGGAACAAAATAATGATTGTAATTTTTAATTTGCTGCTGGGTATATCCTAGAATTCAGCTTTTTTAATGATTGGCTCCAATGGACTAAACTTTTTTTCCTAAAACATTCAACACGAATCTTCACTGTTCTTGCACAAAGCATAGTTTTTCATTTCTAAGTCCTTGTTAGAGTACCACCTGCCCTTGTTTGCATAGATGACAACCTGGAAAAAGGTGTGTGGGCAGCATATTCCACTCAAGGATGCTGTGAAAAAGGGTCTCACAAAATGGTAGCACAGGATTCCATGGCTGTATTTTATAAAATTGCTAGAGATGATTACTGTGAATGCACTTTTAAATATGTTGATCTGGCTGCTATTGATCATTCATATCTCATTCACATTAAAACATTATGGAATCAGCTTAAACTCCATTAACACAGAAATAAAAGTTTTTAACAACACTTCTAATTTTGTTGCTCTGACTATGATTACATCTCCCCGTAAACTTTGTGGAGAGTTTCTGCAGCAGCCAATATCTATGCAGTCTCTCTCTCTCTCTTTCTCTCTCTCTCTCTCTCTCTCTCTCTGTCAGGTACATACATGCACATACATACATATGGGCACAGACACACACTACAGGGGGTGGGCAAAGTAGGTTTGCAGTTGTTCATATGGAAAATAATACACTTAATAAAAATATAAGAATAGAGTCTGTGTTTCATGTACTTCCAACTGTAAACCTACTTTGCCCACCCCATAGAATTCCAACATCATTAATAGCAGAGGTTCTGTAGTGAGTTCCTCTATTTCCTTATAATTATAAATTCTAAAATTTACCATTTACTATTTTTATAGCTTTTGGTCTCCTTGTCAGCATCTGTTTGCTGTGTGTGTGTGTGTGTGTGTGTGTGTGTGTGTGTGTGTGTGTGTGTTCTGAAAACGTACTGGGTGAACAATAGTGTGTTTTTTTTGTACTATGTTTATCAACTTTTTACCATTACCTTTCAGACCAAAAAGCAAAAAGAAATACGAAGATGTTTTTTCAGTTGCTAAACACCACTCTCAACATTTTATATGAACCTTCTTTCCTTTTTTTTTTTTACTCTAAAAAGAAAAATGTTTAAATGTACTTATCTAAATTATCTATTTCCCTAACTACAATGTAAGTTCCATGAGAACAGGTAGTTTTGTCTGTTTTGATCGCCACTGTACATCCTTAGCACCTGGCACATGGCATGCTTTCAATAAGCACCTTTTCAAAGGGATGAATAGTGGAGCTGTGTTCATAAGAATCTGTTGTCCCCTTTCCCATCTAAATTCTTCTGATCCCACATAGTGACGAGAAGCACAAAACACACAGAGTGTTACAGTCTGCAGATTTGTGATGCTTTTTGAGTGGCCTTGTTATGAAAGTTCCCTAGAGACACAGACCTGGACTCTCCTGGAGACCAGCACCGAAGGGGACTTAGAGCCACGCAAGTCATGCAGACACTGGGTAGGAGAGGAGACCAAAGCCCAGGAGAGGAAGTGACATGTTGAAAGTTACACTTCAAGGCAGAAGAACCGCAGTCTCTCTATTAATAGCTTTAAAATATGGGTAGTTGTATTCACTGAGCAATGCCTTGCTCTTTTGCGTTTGGAAACAATGAACAAGATCAGCTATGGGAAAATGCAGACAATGAAGGAAATACATCCAAGTGCACCTTTGCAACTGGGGAATCACACAACCCAATTTAGTACTGAAGGGTAGTACATGTGAAGCCACACTTCTACTTCCTGTGCTTATGGAGGGGCACCCCCACAGCCTTGGTGTGAGTGAGGGATAAGGAGCCCTCTCGGTGTGAGTGAGAAGGCAGTGGCAAGGAGGTGGAGAACTCTCTCACCCTGGATTTTTGCTCTGGGTATCAAGGTTGTAATGATTAGTTCTAAAAGATGACAATTGTCTTCAAACATATGCATAATGGTAAACTGAAAATGAGAAGAGATGGGCACGATATACTCATGAAGTATAAGAGAGAAACTGATGTTTAAGTCTTGAAGAATAGAAATTCGTTTCATCAAGAATCAATGGGGGGAGGGGGAATAAGAATCAATATGGGGAGAAGGGGACATCTGTAATACCTTCAACAATAAAGATAAATGAAAAAAGAAACAATGATAACAGCTAGCACTTAAGTGCTGTCACTTTCTATCTTGTAGACACTGTTGAAAATACTTCACAAATATTAAAACAATTTAAGTGAACATACATAATATTGTGAGGCTATTACAGCTATTATCCCCACATTACAGATGGTTAAACTGAGACACAGAGCAATTAAGACACCTACTAAGGTTAAATAGATGTGGGTTTTGAGCCCAGTTACTTTGGCTTTAGAGTCTGGGATATTAACCACAGCCGGCAAAGGAGGCAAAGGCATTTTTGGCTAAGGGAAAGTCTGTGCAAAGACATAAGAGCCTGGTGCCTGTGGAAAATAGTAAGAAGTTCATTGTGGCTGGAGCACGGGATACTGTGAGTTAGGAGAGGTAGAGAAGGAAGAGATGTAGCTCAAAGTAAAAACATGTAGTCTATGCTAAGAATCATGGACTCTTCCTTCACACCACCCTCTTGTACTTTAGAATAAATCAACATTCACTTTGTACCCACTGAAATATTTCTGTTGTGGCTACTATAGTTATTCCTAGGTCCTTTACATGAAATCTATTGTTTTGGAGAACTGTCAAATCACAGTGTATCAATTTTTAATTCATGTTATGCTATAACACAACATATTCATTTAATGTAATTAGATATGCATATGTGATTATGGTCATTGTAAGAATGCAGATGAACTACAAATATCTTACAGTAGAGTATTTAAGAGATTCAGTTGTTATTTCCTAAAACTATATTCTTACACAAACACACATAACATTCTCCTGTAGATAGCAAAATAGTGCAGTTATTATAGATATCAATTATGGCATAAACATGTTATAACTAAAATTTATCATATGTATATTAGGTGGCTTTTTTACCTTAGGTTGTCTAGAAAGAGTTGCCCAATATGCCAGCCACTAAAAAATGAGGAAAATGAATCAAAGTTAAGTATAAATTCATTAGTCCATAGCATTCTATTATAACACATATAATTCTAAAATTGTCCCAATTAATGAACCTTGTATTATCTTCTCACACAGTGGCAATAAAGTTCAACACAATTCTCAGGATGCCTTAAATGAGGCCATGAAAATGACAATAGTGAGTCCTGCTGCGACCAAGAATCTGTTCTTAAAATAGTTTTAAGTGAACATTACCCACATGATATTTTCAAGGCCAAGACTAAATAAAAAACCTCACGTTACTGAACAACAGTGTACCTCCAGCTGCACAATATCCAAGCCATCTGGAGAATCATCTAAAGGTTGAATATATCCTATTGTGAGAAATCATAAAAATATCAATTAGGAGAAAAGAAGTCATAGCATGAACTTTTTAAATCTTTACCATGAAAAACATACAGAGATTCTATAAATGCAATGCCGTTAAAAAGGACTGACAAAGAAAACACACTCTACCACTAGATTTGCACCAAAATTAATTGAAATAGCTCAATTTTCTACTTACCAGGAGTTAACAGTACAAGAATTATCAAGTCAGGAAAAAGGGCAAAATGCCTAGGCAACAACTTAATTTATATTTTGATGGAATTTATGAAGATGAAATACCAGAAAACGGTGTCAAGTATGTGCATCAAAATCACTCTTGGAACATTTAAGAAATATGGATGCCTGGCTCTGTGCTTCATTAGACTCGTCAGGGGTAGGATTGTGGGAAAGGTTGCTACCAACATGCAGATGGAACCTGTGCCTGTCAACCTGTATCTGACCTAAATGAAGTCTTCATCCCATTTTCACATGATACAACACTTGGAGGAATAGCTAATACTGCAATGGGAAGAATCAACTAAATAGGTCAAAACTAACCAGCTGAAATTAAGTGGGATAAATACAAAACTCCCGAACTTAGATTTTTAAATGTGAGAAAAGAAATATCTGGCCCAAGAGTAGAAAATATATTTTTAAATGAAAATTGATATTTTGCTCCCTGAAATCTCTCTATGAGTCAAGAAAAGGCTAAAAACTAAGGCAATCTTGTGCTATATTCAAATAATAGTGTCCAAACCTTGAAAGATAATAGTCCTAGTTGAAATAGTAAGATGCGTGGTAGAATAAAAGGAGCCAAACATAGTTTTCTTTGACAAAGAGAAAAATTAGGAAGCATATGTTAACTACCTCCAAATATATTGAGAACTGTCCTAAGAGTTATTAGACTTATTCTGTACACCCCCCAAAGGAAAGAGCTAGGGTTAATGGTTAGAAGTTACATGTGATCAGATTTCAGTTTAGTGTAAAGAAGTTCTTGATGGTTGGTGCCATTCAAAAATGCAAATTAGCCGAAACCGGTATGGCTCAGTGGATAGAGCATCGGCCTGCGGACTGAGAGGTCCCAGGTTCGATTCCGGTCAAGGGCATGTGCCTGGGTTGCGGGCATATCCCCAGTGGGAGATGTGCGGGAGGCAGCTGATCGATGATTCTCTCTCATCAATGTTTCTAACTCTCTATCTCTCTCCCTTCCTCTCTGTAAAAAATCAATAAAATATATTTTTTAAAAAATGCAAATTAATTCAAACCAGTCCTATAAACAGTTATTAATCAGTTCTGTGTTAACAATACAACCACAAAGACCATAGGGACCATATCCTCAGGGAACATGAAGCCAAATAGAAAAATGAAGGAGGTGAATATAAATATATGCAGATATATAAAAGACAACAAATTTACAAAAGTGTAATAGAAACAATATTCTATTGGAGCCCAAAGGAGGCAGCTACTGGCTATCTCAGGCTGGTTGTGCATTGGATTTTACTGAAAGTAATCACATAAGAAAATCATAGAGGAAATCCCTGTTCTCCATGAGAGGCTAATCAAATGACTTTCACAGTTCTTTGAAATACGTAGGTTTTGTGATTATACGACATGATTAAAAAACACACATACTGTTTGAAACATATTTTCTGTTTAAATATATTTTCAAAGATTTCTACTCCCCTAAATCAAAATTCTAAACAGTGTGTGTTTACAACCCAGCTGTTCTGCCACCACATCCTTCCCTGCGCCATACGGAGGGTTACCTGAGATGGGTAATGGATTCAGACTACTGACCCCATACAAACGCACTGGTTCCCTACAAACCACTGGTTCCAGTCAGCACCTCGGACAACGCCTCAACCTGGAAGCTGTGGGACCTCCGCTGGGAGCCCACAACAAGGCTATGAAAAGATTCCCTTTTCCTGTGCGCACTCCTACCCCACCCCTCTCCAACTGCCGCTAATCTCCAGTCTGTAATCTCAATTCTACAATCTCTAGTTCTGTTCAGAATTCTGGGAGCACAAATGGCTAAGAAGTTAGGATTTCCCCAAGTCCTATCCCTCGCAGTTTCAACGGGTACATCCTCAGGACAGCGGCAGGAGCTGTGTGAGACCGTTCAACGAGGGAAAGTTGCCTGCTTTAGTAAAAGGCTGTGATATCTAGCTCTGTCCACCCTCTCTTAGAGGTTAGAGATAAACGAGAAGCTAGAAATTGAAAGGGTGGAAATAGGGGCAGGTGGGAGAATAAAGTTTGCCTCCCTCCAGAAGGATCAAGGAGCATCTCAGTCTTTCTTAGAGCTCAGGCCAGCCAGGATCTGGTGAAGGGGTCCCCTTACCTGAGGAGGGATGCTGTAGCAGGCAGAAGCAATAGATGGCCAAGATGGAAGGGAATTGGGGAAGATACTTCATCTTTAAAATCTGGTTGCTCTTTGATGGCCACAGATGTGTCCTGCTCGGACAAGACGTGAGCGTTTTCTGAAGTTCAGCAGGTGCAGGCAATCCTCTGCTCTGTGTCTGATAAGTCCAGTAATGCCTGGAGCCCATTGGCTAAGCACCAATCAGCTTTGCGCAGGAGGACCCCGGCTTTCTCATAAATGTCATGCTGGGTTCTTATTTGTGAAATAATATCCTCCTGGTGTTGGCATTGTAGAGAGTCATCCTTTTAAATCCAGCAATAAAACCAAAAAGTGGAGAATCATAATTGTTATTCTATACTGGTTTGAGAAACATTACTGACTCTCAAGAAAGGCTTTTTCTCTTTTTTAAATCAAAGACCTGGACATAAATCTATAAACTCTTGCATGATCAAGTCTTGTTCCTGAGGAAGCTGTTTCTTTTCCATCACTAACAAAGGGTGTTTTGTAGTCTTTGGTGCAATTGAGAACAAAATTTGGAGTCCAGCATATAACATTACAAGAAACTAAAAAGTTCAATTATGTAAGATTCTTTTAAAGAAATAATGGTTGAAAATCAGACTCTTTAAGGTTTCTCCAGATTCATTTATATAAGCAAGTAAATATGATCTGTTAAATCAGTATTCAAGAAAACATGACAATGTTTAATCATCATAGTAATACTCCACCTACTAAGATTTTGTCTGTTTTAGACACTTCACATAGGTTATTTCATGTAATTCTCACAGAAAATCCATAAGGACTATAGTATTATGCTAATTTTATTAATGGGGAAACTGAGCCTTGGAAAGATGAAGGAACTTGCCAAGGTCACCAACCTATCAAGAATGCAGATGAGGACTTTGGACCCAGGGATGCAGTCATGTCTTTAAGAGTGTGGGATAACAGTTAGGTGTTGTTGTTGTTGTTGTTGTTTTCTAAAACGAGTCCCCTTAAGAATAGATATGGGAGATTAAAAATGGCAGCAGAGTAGGAGGATGCTGCATGGACATGCTCCCAGGAACAAGCTGGAATTACAACTGAAATACAGAAAGGCTTCCTGAATAATCAATGGAAAACTCACAGGAGAGAACCCTGATACCCAAGGACTGAAGGTAAAGCTGGCATAGAGACTGGTAAGAGGGGTGGAGTCACGAAAGGGCTGGCCAGGCACCCACAGATAGCAACTGAAGTCACAGAGAGATATCTCAGCTGTTGGGGGGGGGGGTTCCACTGAGAACTCTGGGATCTAATCCCCAAGGAAGGCTCCCCAGCAGAGAGCACCAAACTGAGGAGGGTACCCACATAACATCTAGCTGTGAAAAGCAGTAGGGTGCTGTCTGCTAGGGAGTGGCAGCTGAAAGTACGGGCACCCTCTTAAAGGGCCAATGCACAAACATTCCCTGTGGAGCCACCCACCTTATGCTCTGGCAGAGGGAGGGTGAAGTGGACTAGAGCTGTGAGAGCAGAACCCAGGTCTGGGGACTTGAGGGATAGAGCTCAGAAGGCAGACATTGCAAGTGTCCTAGGCTAACTCATTTCCTCACACAGCAGAGGACATCTTTCCCACATAGACATCTGCCTTGCCTGGGGGGAAAACAGTCGACACAACCTATTGAAAATACATTGCTCTGAGGCCACTTAAGAGATTAAAAGTAACAGTTAGCTTCCAGGCAGAAGCAAATGCCCCCCCCCCCCCATGAAAAAACTCTCACCACACTTAAGGACAATTGCCTGGAGGCAATTCAAGTCAGAATCCTATTAGTCTGACTCTGGAGGCTTTGAGTCTTTGCCTGATACAATTAGTCAGAAACAGCCTCTAACACTGTCATGCACTAGAGACTGAGAAGTGTAGAGGATTTACCTAAAACATAGTCACAAACCCAAATAGACAACCAAAATGAGGAAACAACTCCCAAATGAAAGAACTAGAGAATTCTCCAGAAGAAGAGATAAATGAAGCAGAGATAAGAAAGTTATCTGAAACAGAGTTCAGAGTAATGATGGTAAAAAAGCTCAACAGTTTGAAAAAAGACATAGTAACTATGAAAAAAAGAACAGTCTGAGATAAACAGTGACATAACAAATAAAGAACACATTGGAAGGAATACACAGCAGATTAGGGGAAGCTGAGGATCAAATCAGTGAATTAGAAGACAGAGTTGAAAATATCACACAATCAGAGAACCAAAAAGAAAAAACAATTAAAAAACAGGAGGACAGCTTAAGGGAGCTGTGGGACAATGTGAAATGTAACAATATTAGAATAGCAGGTGTGCCAGAATAGGCAGAAAGGGAGAAAGGAATAGAGAAAGTGTTTGAAGAAATAATGGTAGAAAACTTCCCTGGTCTGGTAAAGGAAAAAGTTGCACAAGTTAAGGAGGCACAGAGAACCCCAAACAAGAAGAGCTCAAACAGACCTACGCCCAGACACATCATAGTTAAAATGCCAAAAATTAAAGACAAAGAGAGAATCTTAAAGGCAGCAAGAGAAAAGAAAACTGTTACCTACAAAGGAGTTCCCATAATGCTGACACCTGATTTCTCATCAGAAACCCTTTAAGCCAGATGGAAATGACATGAAATACTCAAGGTAATGGAAAGCAAGGATCTGAGAACAAGATTACTATATCCAGCAAGGCTATCATTCAAAATAGACGGTTAAATAAAGAGCTTCCCAGACAAAAAACAAACAAACAAACAAACAAACAAACAAACAAAAAGAAAAAAACACACAAAAAAACTAAAGGAGTTCATCACCACCAAGCCAGCATTACAAGAAATGTTAAAGAGATTGCTGTAAGGGATTGATGAGAAGAAGAAACACAGAGAGAAACCTCACCATAAAGAATTAAAATGGCTATAAATAAGTACCTCTCAATAATAACCCTAAATGTAAATGGATTAAATGCTCCAATCAAAAGGTGTAGAGTAGCTGAATGGATAAAAAAACATGACCCAACTATATGCTGTCTAATAGAAACCCACCTCAAAACAAAAGACACACACATAGGATGAAAATGAAAAGACGGAAAAAACTTTTCCATGCAAATGGAAAAGAAAAAAAAAAGCTGGAGTAGCAATACTCATATCCAACAAAATAGACTTTAAAAGCATCATGCTAAGAGAAATAACCCAGTCAGAGAAAGATAAATATCATATGATCTCACTCATTTGTGGAATATAATGAACAACATAAACTGATGAACAAAAATAGAGCCAGAGGGGGAAAAATATACTAGACTATAATAGTAATCCCATTATTTGCAGATTTTTAATATTTCCTACAACTTTGTGATATCATACTATGTTAGTACAGTTTTGGTAATATTATTATAATTACAATCCCTTTATTCTTGAAATATTAATGTTTATTGCATGTAATATTATTATATGTAAGATCAATTATTTGAATACAGTGGGGCCTTGACTTACGAGTTTAATTCGTTCCGTGACGGAGCTCGTAACTCAAATTACTCGTATGTCAAATCAACAGTGAACGAGTGAGACACTTGATGCTGGGCTGATGTTGTGGCGTTCACTGTGACGTTCGCTGTGCCAACTAGTAGTGGGGTATCTGAAGCTGGCTCGTAACCCGAATTTTAGCTCGCAACTCAAAGCAAAAAATAGGCCGAGAGACGGCTCGTATCTCAAAAAACTCGTTAGTCGGGACACTCGTAAGTCAAGGCCCCACTGTAATTGGTGTTTATTGCATGTAACATTATCATATTTAAAATAGTTTTTCTTGAGATATTAATGTTTATTGCATATACCATTATGATATTTAAGATCGTTTTTCTTGAAATATTAAGGTTCATTGCATGTAACATTGTTATATTTAAAATTGTTTTTCTTGAAATAAAAAAACTGAAAAAAATAAAAATAAAAAATATCTTTAAAATATGTTTTCATTTGAGAAGCTATGCAATACACAGTGGGGCAAAAGTAGTTTTACAGTTGTTTGTATGGAAAATAATACAATAATTAATAAATAATCTATAGCAATAAAAGCATAGTATGCTAATTAGACTGAATGTCCTTCCGGATGAAGCCAGAGCTGTGAGGGAAGCCCGGGTCCCAGGTGCCAGAGGGAAGCCAGTGCCAGCAGCTGGGGGAAGGAAGGCATACTCTTGCATGAATTTCATGCATTGGGCCTCTAGCAATATTATAATAAATTCTGTGTTTTGTGTACTCACAACTGTAAGCCAGCTTTTGTCCCACCCTATATTTCTAGAGGCCTGATAAAGTAGTTACTTGTAAAATGTTATTCTTCTGTAGTGAATTAGATTTAAAAAACTTTCAAAGACTATTTAACACAGGGGTGAGAATCTATTTTATGACAAGGGCCATTTGGATTTTTATAACATCATTTGTGGGCCATATCCAGATGTTCCCCACCCCTAATTTAAACAAACGTTGTTTTAAAAACTTGCACACGAAATTTATGATCATTATAGAAAAATTAAGGCTCTGGTTGGGTAGCTCAGTTGGTCGGAGCATTGTCCTGATACACCAAGATTGAGGGTTCAATCCCTGGCCAGCGCACAAATAAGAATCAACCAATGAATGCATAAATAAGTGGAACAACAAATTGATGTTTCTCTGTCTCTCTCTGTTTGTCTCTCTCTAAAAATCAATAAATTTTTTTTTTAAAAGTTTAGATATGGGACAGAAAGAAGACAAACGGGCTGGTGTGGTTCAGTGGTTGAGCATCAACCCATGAACCAGGAGATCATGGTTCCATTCCCGGTCAAACAACATGCCTGGGTTCTGGGCTTGATGCCCAGTAGGGGGTGTGCAGGAAGCAGCCAATCAATGATTCTCTCTCATCATTGATGTTTCTATCTTTCTGCCCCTCTCTCTGAAATCAATAAAAACATGTTTTTTAAAAAGAAAGAAGATGAAAAAATGAAGTCTGGTATTGTTTACAAGAGAGGAAACAGACATGGCCTATATTAAATAAATGTTTGGATTTTTTCATCATGCATATCTTTACGTTTTTCTCTTTTATGGACTAACTAACAACTGTTGAATACTTACAATATGCCTAAAACATGTTAATAATTTACCTGTCATATTATGTAATTTTTAAATGAATGAAGATTTAAAAAATAATTTTGATTAGGAGTTGCTCAACACAGAATGCTTATG